AGACAAACATACAGGTCAATGCTGGTGAATATGGGCAAAGTCTATTAGTGAATTTACAAGAATGGATCAATGTTCAGGAAGCTGCGGTTCATGGTGAAGGACAAATTAGGTAGACAGCCTCAAAAATGCTGTGAACCCTCTGAGTCTAAAAAGCGATTTTAATGCCCCCACGGGCTAAACTGATAAGATAAGCAGCCAAATAAAACAAAGTTGTCCTTGGTTACCCACACACGAAGAGATAAGATGATTTTTATACCCAGCTGCTCTTACACCCACTTTCCAGATGTTTTAGACAGTTGTTTTGAACCCATAAACCTCCCACACAGAACTCAAATTCTCAGATCGTTTCCTATAGACAGGCTGAATAATGAGCAGAGATGACCACATCTTCAGGATGTCCGACTGTGCTGAAAACACATCTGTTTGAGGCCAGAGTTCATGGCTCCCAGCTACCGCTTGCCGTAAACTTCAACCTATTAAACAGTAACTTTCCACTTAATAGAATTTATTGGATTCTTAGAGTCACCCTTTTCCCAATCAAAAATCATTTAGATGCCAAAGGAAGCTTTTATACTGAAAACACATGCGCAGCTCCTCAATTTCCACAGCTAATGATATAACAGCTCGTTAGACTGAATATATTCACTTTTTCTTTACTGTTTATACTGAGCGCTGCTGTTAACAGAGGAGGACTCATTTTAATCACTGCAACATTTAAATGTTTGTAACAAATTGTGGCTCAGGCCATTGTACAAGTCTACATGAATTAAATGAGTAAATTAATTAGCTTTAAATGATGAACAGGGACAGAGTAGACAGACAAGTGACACAAAACTAAAACAAACGTGTGTCCGGTCATGAGAAAAGCTTTTCACATGAAACCTGTAACAGAAAATGAACAGAAGGTTTTGCTTTCTGTCCTGCAGATGTCTTCCTGCATCACCGCTGAGGCTGGCCTTAAGACTTTTATTGCACATGTTGTGACATAAAAAAAAAAGAAGAGGGACACGAGTCCTTTAATGGGAGTAAGATGTAAGCTGACATGCACAACATAAGAGCCTAACATAACTCAGTCTTTGTAAAAGTCATGCAGAGTTTGAAAAAGGAGTTGCAGCAGGATCCAGGTAATGTTTATGTATTTAGTGCTGGTCTTAAACATGAAACAGGACTTCTTCTTTTTTTAAATGGGGAGACGAGGGAAATTAAATTTAGCTTTAATTTTGGAGACGGGACGTCCACTTTGCTTTTATGAGTTCGTCCTGAATCTTGCACGTGACCACTGAAGAATTCTGTAGCATTCAGATCATTAAAGGCCATGATTTTTAAAAAAACAGGAGCGCCGTGTGACGCAAGAGTCAGGAGGGATGAGCATGGTGTTTACCTTGGCTCTGTTTTTATGTTTGAAGTACAGGAGATATAAGCAACAGTCTGCCTCTCATCTTTGCATTTCACACAGAAATGAA